AAGGCTAGCATTTTGTTTTGTTGTTTTATTGTGCTCTTTGTTTTTTTTTTTGTTATTTTTATTCCCTATTTTCTAGTGTAAATATAAATTTAAAATTCTTCGTAATTTTCTGTTCTAAAATCTCGAAATTAATTATTTTAAATTTCAATAACACCCTCTACCGGTGAATGTAACAATAATTTTAAAACATTTTAAATAATTACGGATAAACCAGGGAAAGTAATTTTTAACGAGTCCAAAACTTTCGTTCAGTAGAACTAGAGCAATCAAGAGAACTGCATAAGATTTATACGTTTCTTAAGATTTCTCCAGAGAGAAGAAGATATCGATACCCGGTTTTGACTGATTATTTTCAAATGAAAACCATTCTATTTCAGTTTTGTTCATATGGTTCAACGCTTGTGTAGGAGATCTATGTTGTTTCATCATCTACATTGATTTTCAAATTACCTCCGTGGTGGCCTGATACTGTATTTTGTTTTTTATTAAGTTATCTGACAACACGTCATATTTTTCTGGTTTGTTAATTATAACTGGAGGGGGTTTAATGTTTTTAATTTGTGGTTTGTTATTATCTGTTAGCATCTCTGGCGAACTGCTGGCTTTTCTTTTCTTGGTGTTTCTAACTCTAATCCACTTTGTTTCTCGGTTCAGTTCTTCTTCATCATCTGTGTAGTATTCTGTGGATATTTCTTCTTTGTCCTCTGAGGTTCGAATTTTTTGTTAGATCGCTTCGATTTGTATTAATTAATTAATTAAACAATATGCTTGATTGTCACGATACACATACTAAAGGTATGCTGACTTTCGATTCAAAATTCGTCCAAACCGCTCATGACGTAATGCGGGACGAACTTTCAAGTTATTTTGACACTTTTCGATTGCATAGTGTAAAATAATTTAATAATTTATTTGTTTTTGTGTTAGTAGTGACTATATTTTCCTATATATAACGGGAAAGAACTAAATTAATGTTTAAAATGCCGGTCTGCGCGGTGGAGATATTTCATAATGCCACGCAAAATATGGGTAAATTCTTATCGAAGAAAGGACAAACTTAATTGAAGTTGCCCTATCCACTTTGAGGAAAGTAGTTGTGAGATTTCTCTTAAACATAGACGCAAGAAAAGAAATCAGAATTTCACCAAGTGCACGGGCCTCATTAAGCAAAGAAAATAAATCGGTATTTTAAAATTTTAGCTGATAAAAGTAGTTTCCTGTCCCAATACAACGGTTCTTTTGAAGTAGTGCCATGCATGAGCAGGACACGAACATATATAAATGAACAGAAAAATTGGTTTTGAGTATTTTCGAAGTAAACTTGACAAAAAATGTTTAAATTTACCAAATAAAAAGTAATTTTTTTGTGTATTTACTTTTTATAAATAAATAATTTGTTTCTGTACACTTATTTTTATTTCACATAATAAGAAAAGAGATTGCAAGAGAACTACTACACCCAGAAAATACAAATTTGAGCCAAACTTGTATTTTTAGGCTATATTTTTTACTTATCTTGTGACCAGGTTATGAATTTTGTCACAAAATAACTATAATTTATGAGAAAAATTAATATTTTTATTACTATTATTTACATTAAACCTTCATATTTGTAAACGAATATATTACAAAATAACCAATAAAGCTTAAGTAACTGCATAAAATCAAAAAATTGGCAAAATATCGAATTTTAAACACTATCTCCCATTTAATGCTTATATTTCTATGTCCCACGTGACGTCACCGTCAGTCAGCTGCATGCGCAGGAACATACCGTTAGTCTGTGTATCGTGCTTGATTGCTTGTTTTTTCTTTTCGCTTATATCGGTTCAGCCAGTGACGGTGGCGTTGAATTAAAATCTAGTGTTCTGTTATTTTTTCGACACATTTCAACACTATTTTTATAGGCACATTTTGATTTTCGTTTTTAAACATTAAATTTAGTAATCATAGTAACTTTTGTAAACTATTACGAATAAAATCATATGCGCGTATTACGCAAACTAAATTGACCTAGTTACGGAGCAATATTATTAAACCTACAACAGTGGATATGATGGACATATCGCACGAAGACGCAGTTTGAGTACAACGCCGGAGGTGGTGTGCTCTATTGTTCGAGTGTGATACGGATAATCCATTCGAGTTGTATAGTATATTTTTTCTACGACCCACTAACGAAAATCTACAAATTTAAAAAATAATTTAGAGATTATTTAATTCATGAATTTTACTAATTTATAAAAGATTTTATTTAAATAGTCTTTAATCCTAGATTTGAAACCCGGACCTTTCGAATGGAAACACCTCGACTCTATCGAGACACCTAATTTTTTAGTTTTGATACTCATAATTAAATTGATTTTAGATAGCTTTATTAATATTTACGATTTCTTCGCAAATATAGACAAATATCTTGAGGAATGCCATTAGTTTGAATGCAATTAGTTTGACATAATTGTCACTTCTTAAAATTTTTAAAAATAGTAGCTGGGCGACCAAATATGAACTGTGATTGGTGGTTTTCATATCCGTACAATGCTTTTACTAGAATGGATGTAAAATGACCTACTTTTTCGTTCTGTAGTCTGTGCCACCTGTGCGTAGAATGCATAATACCCATGTGGGTTTAAAAAAAAAGAATTATTAAACCTTATTAGGTGCTGCGAATACATAATCCAATAGAGCTTTCTCAATGGACATTAACAACTCATCGGAACTTTTAATTATTTTAGTTAGGCTTTTAAAAGAAAATTGGCTATTATTTATTGTTACTCCCGCTCAAAACCGGCCAATACAATAACAACACATTATTACAAAGTTGCCAAATACAGGGTGTTTCCGAACTTGGCGTCCAAATTTGTAGGGGTAGTAGTTCGCATAATTTGAGAGCGATTGGCAGATTTCATTTTTCTAAAAAAATTATAATAAACAAAATAGAGCCATTATAAAAAATCAAAGAGCAGGTCCTACCCTGAGCGCGTAGCGCAATAGTCCTCAAAAACAGGTGTGATTTGCAATTTTGTCGATTCTAAGCGTAGCGCGCGTGAGTCGAGGCAATCCTATCGCTGTGCAGGACCGTACCTGTTTATAATTTTTAATTAATTTTTAATTATTTTTATTTTAAATATTTTGGAAAAATGAAATCTGCGAATCGGTCTCAAATTATGCGAACTACCACCCCTACAAATTTGGACGCCAAGTTCGGAAACACCCTGTATATACGGACAGTGAATATTTGCGTTTTATTCTTCTTGTATTTCTGTTCTAGTTGAATTGTCTTATCTGACGTTTGCAGATGTTTTTGATTTTATATTTATATAAAGTTTCTGTCTCTTGGTTTATAACGGAACATAATGATGTTCCAAATATTTTATGAGGTGAAGGTTTAGGTTTGTAAACAATTTTACTGCAGATAGACATACTATTTTTTTTATAATCGTATCATATAGTTTTTGATTTGCGTTTTAATTTATAAAAACTAAAATAATAGATTAGGATTTTTTATTGTGGTAGCTTCGACAACTACAAAAATTATATTATCAGTATATTTTATTAGACGCTAACCCTTTTATTTAGCTGCCACACCACTTCATGTATTGCCAAGAACTGTTAAAATAACGAACAAACAGCTGATTACTCGAAATTTTGACTATAAACTCGGAATTTCTACTTTGATCTCGAAATTTTGATTGTAACTTCCTTTTGTATGCAGTTCTACAACTAGTAGCTAAGAGTTAGTCTAAGTAAGTTTTATCAACTTCACAAATCCTTATGCTATCCTGGAATAGCAAGAATTAACTGGATTCGCTCTAAAAGGTTTCCATATACTTTGGAAGAAGGGAAGAAAATATTCTCTTCGTGTCAAAGGTTAATTTAACTTAATTTAATTTAACTTAAAAGTCAAAATTTCGAGATTAAAGTAGAAATTCCGAGTGCAAAGTCGAAATTTCGTGATTAAAGTCGAAATCTAAAAAAAATGTAGGTATTGTATGGCCCTTCTCCGCCTTTGTACTACACACAGAGATGATAGGTTTTAATAGGAAAATAAAAGTAAACATTTGACAATAAAACTCTGGATATTGGTACACGTCTCAAGACATACGAGACAAAATTTTAAACTTTAACAATTATTTAGGGGGTGGGTGGCTCAGTGGTAGAGTATCTGCATGTGGATTCAAGGGTCCCATTTTCGAATCCCACCGTTGGCCGGAATTTTTTTATTTAATTTAATTATTTAAAATTAATTCTGATGCCTTTGTAGGATTCCCCACTGGACCATTCACTGTTGGCTTCTAATTAACAGTGCTGTTTTTAAAGTGGCGCTGGGAAATAGTGACAAAGCCTACACAGAACACGAGGCGAAATAATCTTAGTAGTTGAAGCCGATGGCACACAAAAAAACAATTATTTAATCGGCCTCTAGTGATTTACATTGTAAATAGAAAAGTTTCCTATTGAATATTAAAACAATTTTACTGTTTTAATAATAGTAAATTCGAGTATATACCTACGTGCTTACTACTGAAAACAGATTAATAGTAAATTTAAAACACAAAAGCGAATTATTTAAAGGTCGACTTTCACATTTTTTATGAACTTGGACATTGATAATTTATTTATTAGCTGTTTGACACTTTTCTACAGGTAGCTCGGGTTTGAATTTACTTCAGACAGGCAGAGCACCACAGAAGCTCGTTGTCGTAACCTTTCACTTCTTGTCTTAATGCGTTTTTACAATTTTACTTTTTTCACTAAGTAGGTATTATATCGCGTTATCCTACGCAACAGTTAAAATTAGGCATTTGACTGCCATACTCAAGGGTCACGGCCAAATTCATGGTTACGATAATCAGGAAATAAATTTGTCACTTGAATCTTAAGTGTTTAGTCAAGATAAATAAGTGTTTTACAACCAGTGCGTATCGAATAGTTGTGCTAAGTTAACGGAGAAAGTAGTCTATTTTAAGTGCTGTGATATTACAATAGGTTTATTGAAAATGGCCGTTAAAAGATTTGTTCCGCTTGTTTTGTATTCTGCGATATTTTTGTTCTATTTTTTTTCGTTGAGGTCCATGAAAGAAAACTCCAAGGCGATAAGAAGTGATCCAGAAAAATCAGCGAGGATGCCCCAAGGATATAGAAATATGAAAATATACGAAAATCGATTTTTTACTGGCTGGACGTTTGTAAGTTTGCAATTATGCATTAACGCGTCAATATTATTTAAATGACAACACTTTTTTGAGTTAGCTATGCTACGTGTAGAACTAATATACTAATACACCCTCCTATTATACGGGGTGGTGTTTTAGTGGTATTTTTTAAAATTACACAAGAATAAAATACCTTTGCTTTGAAAATACAAAAAAAAAAAAGTTGTTTAGAATAAAACCAAAGATTACCAAAATGACACTATATTGATGCCGTAAAAATAAAGCTCTAACGGGATTTTATACGATGTTGCGAATGTGATCCCTATAAAATTGTATTTTATGAAGAATAGTGTTTTTGATGTATTAAAAAAGCTCCCAAAATTATTAAAAAAAGAAACATCTCATAACTAAACAAAGATATACCAGCATAAAAATCCAAAATACTCTCCACAATTAAATATTAAATAATTTTATTTTGAAATATTCATTTTAGTACAGTACAGAAAACTCATTTTAGATATTTTGTTCACATAAAGCCCAACAACACAAAACACCCCTTCTCGTTAAATCTATTATCTTTGCTAAACATTTCTTTAGCGAGCGAAATAACAATAGTGTGGATGAATGAAATTGTACCGTAAACTTTTACACTTTTCTACCTGAATTGACCTTCATCGTAATCTTGACAGCTGGTTGGAATTTGGATGGCTCGATACGCCATGGACGTACGAACTTTTTATAAATATATATTTTATGTCGCTTGATGTCAAAAAATCAATTTTATTGATAAAAATAAGTCTTACATCAAATAAATAAAATCACAGGACTCAATCAATTAATACTAGTTGACACGTAAAGCGTAACTGTATTAAAATTGCTTGATGACTACATACACAATACCTTTAAATTGGAGTGTAGCTTTATCTATTTCGATTTTATAGTCGACCGGAATTAGGTTTTTAAGGCGAAATTTTTAGTACAACATAGAGACCGAAGGGTCAACCGCGATTCCAACATTTCTAACAATTCTAAATAATTCCAACAATTCCAACAATTCCAACAATTCTCAACAATTCTCAACAATTCTCAACAATTCTCAACAATTCTCAACAATTCTCAACAGTTCTCAACAGTTCTCAACAATTCCCAACAATTCCCAACAACTTCAAACAATTCCCCGCAATTTCTGTTCCAATTTCAACGATTTCAGTAATGCTAGTTCCAATTACACTTTTAATTTTTTGCTTTAGATGGGCTTTAATTGAAATAGAAATTGTTGTAAACGTCAAAAATTACTCAAATTGACGACGAAAAGCAATAATTATAAACTGATGTTGTATGTATGTATGTATGTATGTATATAATAATAATAATAATAATAATAATAATAATAATTACACATTTATTATATGTATGTATGTATGTATGTATGTATGTATGTATGTATGTATGTATGTATGTATGTATGATTGATTAATTATGTAAACACTTATTGTTTTAATGACTTTTAGTTGGTAAAAAGTGCATAGGTTATTAAGTAATAACAATATTACGCAACAACTGACTACAATGTAGGGTATCAATGTGCGGCGCTAATTGAAGCCTTTGTAAACTCCAAAGAGGTTAGAGGTAACATAGGAAGCATTTGTCGCTGCTCGAATTTTGCCAAAACCGAAAAACTGGGTGGAAGGAGTAGGGAGATGTTCTGGACCGGACTTAAATATTTGTATTGTAGTACCTAATTTTGGTAGGTAACTAAAAGATGAAAAATTATGAGACGTTTTTTTGAATTTATTTGTTAGCACGATTAATTTATGATGAGGGCAATAACACTTTATTAATATATAGCTAGTAGCTAAGGGCCGATTCCACCGTTGTGTTAAACAAAGTTTAAATTACTAAACGAAGATTAAAATGACATTGATAATGTAAAAATGTCATTTTAATCTTCAAACTTCGAAACTTTTTTTTTTAATAGTAATAATAAAAATAAGGGACATGTGCCGATCTAACTTTTGACATTACCCGCGGGAAATTTGAAAAAAGAAACGTTTTACCCATTATCCTTAAAGGAGTACGTCAAAATTTTACCCCCAACATTTCTGGGCAGTTTTCAATAACGGTGTTCAGTTATTTAAAAAATAAAACAAAATTTGCAACTTTTATTTATTTGTCTTCTTTTTTGTTGTTAAACGTATAATGTCAACTTTTCAAATGTGAAATGTCACTATTCATTCCCTTGTTTTTTGATTTTTTGTGTTTTTAGATTTTTGGATTTTTCAATTACTCGATTACTCGATTACTCGATTTTTCGATTTCTCGATTTTTTGACTTAAAAACCAAAAAAAGAGGCAGTTTAATTTATTTTCATTTCGTAACTGGTGACATAATCAACTTTTCGTAATCAGTTGCAACTGGTTGCATAAAGTAGAACGTTTTCACATTTGCTGCAATTACAAAATATATTACTTTATATGTCAAAATTAGACAAAATAGATTCCATATTATTATAGAGCAGTGTTTCTCAAACTTTTTTGGCGACGAAACCTTTTTGAAAAGCGAAATAGTTGACGGAGCCCTAAACACATAAAACACAATTTAAAAAATATTTTTAAAATTTTTCTTCATTTTGACTTTCAATAGGTAACCGTGAGAAAAAATCGCCTTTATATTATGCTCCGATTCCACATATTTAATTTTATAATTGTAATTGGACAATATTACTGCCCATCTACGTAGTCTGTTGGCTGAAAATTGGGGCATACCTTTAGCTGGTTTAAAAATAGTTACCAGAGGTAAGTGATCTGTAACTATGATAAAGAAATGTCCATATAAATATTCATTAAATTTATTTAGGCCAAAAATTATTGCAAGGCCCTCTCTTTCAATTTGGGAATATTTTTGTTCGGACTTTGATAAGGTGCGCGAAGCAGAAGCTATTCGCGATTCAAGTTAAGTGATACGCCCTCTGGAGGAAATTTGTAGAAGGTCCGTATAAGTAGGATATCGTTCGGTGTTGCCCAGAAGTAGCAAAACTTCGCTACGTCGTCGGATTTTAGCTTTTGAAGAAGTGGATAAGACCTTTTATTTAAAAATCAAAATTTTTGTATAGTAATATGTAATCATACTCTATATTTATTTAAGGATTTTTTTATAAAACCGATTTATTATTAAATTTATTATTAAATCTATTTTTTTTTAAATTTCAGTTCATTTATTAATTTTGTTTAAAATCACTATATCATTTGGCAACATTGGCGTTCGTGTTCATTGTTTACATTTTAATTTGTATCATTACAATTAGAGTTTTTTCTTACTTTTTAGCTTTAAATTTGTTTATTTCTTATAGTATGTGATAGTGTTTATATTAAAAATGAAATCTGCGAAAACGTCCCCAGAAAATTGCAATCTATATGGTGTTAATGTCAAAATCAAAACTGAAGTATTCAATATTTTCCAAGTGCAAGTCGTAAAATTTTGTTTTTTACGATAAATGAATATCTACAAATTCACAATATTGAAATTTTACAAAACTTTGTTTAGAATCAAACTGTAATCTGATTTGTGACGGTTTTATTACCATTTACATGTATACAAAGTACTACATGATTCACTTCATAATATAAGAATAAGTCTAGTAAGATTTTTGAATAAGTTCATCAATAATAAACGTGTGGTACCTGAAATGTCCTTTAAACCACATAATAAAACATGTCCTGGGTTTAGTGAATACATATTTCTAGATGTTCTTGTAGCAACCAACAGGTGAATATTTTCAACAAATAAGTCATACACATGATAAATATTATATTTATGACGAAAGCACGAGACTTAAACTTAAATTAACACTAAATGAAACTCAAAAACACTATTACAATGAGAATATTATCTAAAAACAGTTAAAACAATAACAAATACAAAATCCGCCCAAAACAAAAACATGTAAATAAACAAACATCCTACTTATAAGTGACAAATGACAGGCGCGCGAAAATTAATTTGAATCGCGAATAGGTTTCTCAATAACATATATGGTCCTTATTTCCACATTTAATGCATCTACGATTAATTTAATCGGCAACTCAGGCTGAAAATGCACAAGAACATCATTTGTTGTTAATTTATTTTTGATTAATTCAAAGATTCCTTGCAAGAATTATCCCAAATCCATTTCACCCATAAAAAATAAAATTAAAAAAAGTCCTAAATAAATAGTTTTGAAAAAAACTATTGAAACCAGTTGTGAAGTTTGAAACGAATAGATTGGCAATGAAATTGATATTTTTGTATATGATTATATGTTACTCTTTCCACTTCCTGAAAAAAGATTCCCCATGAAACAAGAAATAGTAAACAGTTTATAATAATAACCCTTATTTACTACTTATAACATGTACCAATGACCAAGTCCGATTCTGTTTAGTTTCAAATAAACAAATATGGCCGTCGACAGAATATTTAAAAATTAAATAACTCACCGAAATAAATGTAAGTTTCTTTTATCTCCGCCACTTTTCGCACTTTAATTATAAATAAAGCTTTTTACAACACATATTGGCATTTTCAACGTTAATTTCCAAAATTTAAGTTACTGAAATACCAAATTAATTATCGTTGACACATTAAATTTTTGATGGACAACGCTCTAACATGTGATGTTCTCAACTGTGATTGGTGGGTGTGAATAATTTCAAAATGGGATTATGCGCAGTGTCTTATGTTCCATCTAAGGTTTGTATAATCTAAGGTAAACTCCTACTTTCCTGTCAGTCTGTATACAGACAGAAAGTATAGGAATCATGATTTTTTCAATCTCAATTTTTTGACGGATTTTTACGTTTTTGGATTCCCTGAATCCGTTTAGACTATGATGATGTCTGTGTGTGTCTCTATCCACGATATCTCAAAAACGGATGAGAAAAATTTTAAACTTAAGCTTTATTCCAGCTTCTACTGAGATGATTAGATTTTGGGCATAGTCGGAGCATTTGGGGTACTTTATAGGGGGTTGCTTTTCTACTTTAAGGAATAAG